AGAGAGAGAGAGAGAGAGAGAGAGAGAGAGAGAGAGAGAGAGAGAGAGAGAGAGAGGGAGAGAGAGAGAGGGAGGGAGGGAGGGAGGGAGGGTGACCCAACGGGTGCTGATCCAATGGGATTTCTGCCCAGCGCGCCAGCGCTGGAGCGCCGAGTCTCGGCCAGACCAAAAGCTCGCCCTCTCGGGCCATTGGACCAGGCCGAATCCGTCCGGACCAGGCCAGATCAGATTGGACCGGACCAGATCAGACCAAATTCATACCGATTCCGACCAGACCTGATCCGGGTAAGATCAGATCCAGGCCGGATCAGACCAGACCAGATCCGGGCAAGATCAGATACAAGCCGGATCATACCAGACCAGACCCAGACGAGAAAAGATCAGACCAGACCGGATCAGGCAAGATCAGATCCAGGATGGATCAGACCAGATCCAGGCGAGAGCAGATCAGACCAGACTTGATCAGACGAGATCAGACGAGATCAGACCAAAATCGGACCCGATCAGATCAAATCAGAGGAGAATCGATCAGACCAGATCAGACCAGACCGGGCACAGGACAGACCAGGCTGGCTCAGACTAGACCGGATCAGACCGATAGGACCAGACCAGACCAGACCAGACCAGACCAGACCAAGATCAAGAACGAGGCCAAGTGCGCACCCGGGCGAATCAAGGAATCGCCTTTCCGACAAGTGTTGGGCCTATTTACCGTAGCAAGCCGTTTCACGGCGAAATCGTGTTCCGTTGGGACTCAGAGGAATTATACAGACTCTTACTATGGACAAGACCCAGGGCCCCGTCGCAGTGCGAATTATCATACTATTCTGAATTAAATCAAAACACTCATTTTGATCATTTCTACGATTTGTTTCGTCGTCAGCAGTTTCCTGCCTTATAATGAGGTGCTAGCGTATTTTGGTGATACTGACGAGGTTGATTTCTTGCAGGTTGCAGGAGCCCTGATCAACCCTCCCGTGGGTGACAGACACGGCGCGAGGTATAGGGTTCGATCGGTGTGCCGGCAGGTCACTTCTACCAGTCGACAACGTTCCATGGAGCCCCCCTCTGCAGCCGTGTTGCGCAGGCGCGGCTGGGATGGCATGGAGGGCAGGCCACCCTGAGGTGGCCTTTCTTCAGTCGCGGCGCGTATCCTGACTGTCGTCGTCGTGGCGCCTTGTGTGACATTGCGCTGCCTACGGCTTTCCAAGGGCTCGTCGTCCTCGCCGCCGACGTCGACGACAACCTCCTTCGCCTTCTGGGTGTCGTGCGCACACACTTGTTGCGCCTCCGGAGGGGACGTCAACAATCTTCTCGCACCGCTCTGATCAGATGAGCGTTGAAGACTGCTTCCCCGAGGCGCCAGCACGTTGTCCTCTGCTGCTTCCTCCTCCGTCGTGAACACGTCGTCATCTTCCTCTTCGTTGGCTGCCGTCCAACTTCGCCCTCGTCGAAGAGGCAGGCTTGTTGATGCTTCTTCCGAACGGAGCCTCTTCGCCTTGGGGACATGTCGCCGACCCCTTTCCCGCCCCTGACTGTCCGTGGGGATGTTTTCCCGCTTCTTCCCACGGGTGCCACCTCTCGCAGACATGCTTCCCGCCTCCGTTAATGGCCGTATGTGGCTACGCCTGCGTTCGCACCAACGACGAACAAGCTCCTTTGCCGCCCTGGGGACCAATGCGTCCACGTGTTCCCAAGTGTTGGGGTGACACCGGCTAGACTGGTTCGCGACGAGAAGAAGACGACACAGACGACAGCGAACCCCCAAGTGGCGAGAGAGATCCGCGGCGACAAAGGCAGAGGAGCCCGCCCTCTCCACACACACTACCTCCACGCCGACGCGAACGCGAGAAGGAGATGAACCCTGCGGACGCTTCTCCGCGGCGAGAAGAAGATCTTCGCGACTAAGCGATGCCGGACCTCCGAAGGGGCGATACGGATCCGTGGCGAGAAGGAGAGCGACAAGATCCACACCGATGATCGACGACGACATTCAATAAGTCCCAGACGATAAGGAGATGAACCCTGCGGACACTACTCCGCGGCGAGAAGAAGATCTTCGCGACTAAAGGACGTCGGACCTCCGAAGGGGCGATACGGATCCGCGGCGAGAAGGAGAGCGACAAGATCCACAGCGATGATCGACGACGACTTTGAAGAAATCCAAGACGATGAGGACTGCGAAGAAACGGGCGACTTCGCAGTGGCTGTGCGGTGCATCGATGACGAGAAAAAGCAGAGGGCGTCCCGCGTGGATGTCGTCGCTGTGCACCGTGTGCGCCGACCTTCAGTGCTGGAGAAGCCGCAAGCGGCGCAAGCGGACGACCTTTATCGTGGAGAAGGCGCAGACGCATCGAAAGCATGGAGCAGACGGACAGGCCCCGACGACGATTCGTCGCCTGCCGTCATCGTCGACAGCGACACGTACGACAGCAACTCTGTAAACCTCCTTCGCGCACACTCCCTTCAACTGTTGCCACGCCCAGCTCCCCGAGGCGCCTACAGACCCTTCGACGCCTCTGCAGAAGCGCGTCCATACACTCTCCACGGGCCGATATGGATTTCTTA